CACCGCCCCGAGGCTGCTGTGGAGCAGGGGCTCCCGCCAGGGCAGCCAAACCCTGGGGCCTGGGCAGCTGCTCCGCTTCCCTCCTACTAAGAGCTAGACCTGGCAGCAGTAAAAGCAAATCAACGGGTTAAAACATGGGTTAGAATTAAAACCTTTACAACTTCTTTTTCTTCTTGTGTCACCTCTCCCCTGGGAAGGGGCTGATGGAGGAGGAGAAACCGGGCGGCAGCAGCAGGCTCCGGCCTCGCTGGCTGGGAGTCTGTCAAGAAAGGAGAGGGCAGACAGCACACCCTGCGCGCCAGCAGCGGGGTCCCCGTCCAGGGATCCCCTCCAAGAGCTTGTCTGCGGCGCTCTGCGACCCACACACTGGCTCTCTGCTGGGCTAGTGCTTCTCCTCTTCCAGTCTTTTCATGGCCTCCAGCACAGCCAGCTCTTTTGCCTCCTTCTTCTGGTTCCTAGCTTCAAACTCCAGCCTGCAACAATCACAAAATGCTGCAAGATTCTCATGTGTCCCCATCTCACCTGGAGCAGGGGAGCACCGCACCTCCTGCTGTTCTGCTCTGAGAGCGCTTCGGAAAACACCAGTAACCTCCCAACTACTCTCAAGAGCCAGCACCCAGAGCTTCCCCCAACTGCTCCCACCACTCTGGGGGCTCCCACTGGGCAAACACTGCTTGTTTCTGCCCCAGCAGCAGATGCTGCTGCTCCATGCTTGGCCTGTCCTGGGACAGACCACTCAGTAATACCAAATCCAAATTTACCACTGACTGAGCCAAGGTCACTGAAGGTGAAGGGCTCAGGCCTAAAAGAGCAAAGCTCTGAAAGAAGCAACATGCTCCTTGCCCCAGGAGTACAGCAAGGGAATTTTATCATTGACAGAGGAGGAGGAACACCAGTAAAACACACTGTGACACACACTGGCACAGCAGAGTTCAGCTGTTCCTTTCCCTGTGCAGTCCAGTACATCCACATTTAAGCAGCCTGCCCAAGCTATAGAAGATGAAGGAGTGGTTACTGATTCTAGGTAACCACTTCTCTCCCTGTTTGATCCCATTCATTAGCCCTCACACAAGCTGGACAGTACAGTATGTGACAGAACTGGGAGATAAAGAAAGCCAACCTGTTCTTGATGATCCTCTGCACAATGAGATCTGTGGTGAGGTTGCTGCCACTGTCCACGAGCTGGAAAATGCCGCGTCTCTTCGGTTCCTGTGGACAAACGGAGCAGACTGAGCTGGGGAGACAGGCAGGCCCTCGGGTCACAGCTCAGCAGGGGATGTTGAGCAGAAGCCGTGGCAGGTCCTAGGGCACCCAGCCAGGCACAACACAAAACGACTCCTAGGAGGCAGGATAAATGCTTGCTGAGAGCAAAGCTTTGTGTGTGGGAGCTGCCCGGGACTGGCACAGAGCAAAGGCTACAGGATTCCTCACTCTGCTATGAAGGCATCAGAAGCAGGCAAAGCAAACAGGGACTGCAAGAGAGCTGTTTACAGCTCTGCTCCAAGCAGCCACCCTCAGGGCTGGAGGAAACCAGGCTCACCTTCGCTGCGCTTGCCTGGAGCATCCTCTGCAATACAAGTTCCCAGCTCGGGAACACGAAGGCAGCTCCATCTATCCAATGCTCACAAAGCAGCACGGCCCAGAGCAGCTGGAATCTTACCTCGTACGGGTCAGAACCGTCCTTGTCTGGCACCACCTCTGTCATCCCATGACACACAAGCGTTACCTGGAGAAGGAGACAAAGTTGTTGAGAAGACCCGAAAGATGACAAGGACCTTCCCTGCCACTGCACCCACTGCAGCATAGCCTGGAGATCAGCAAAGCCACCCTCCTCTACCGGCCTTGGTGGTGCATCTGGAGCTCCCAGTAACCCTGCTGCGCTGGACCTTCTCCCTTCTGCACCCCTGTGTTTTCCTGCACCTCTTCAGATCCCCAAGCACATCACACCCAACACCTTCACGTCCTTCTATACGCAAAGTCTCACCCTGAAGTGATCCAGCAGGTCAGCAGTGACAGCGTAGGGAGCTCCAATCACCACTTCCGAGACGTACTAGAGGAGAAACCAAGTAAAGAGCCCAGATTTGGCAAAAACAAACACCCCAGAACCACAAACCAACACCCCCAAACCAGGGACCAGCCTGCTTCCTGAACAGCCTTGAGCAGGTCAGCCAGCTACAGAGACAGGAACTCAAACAAGGGAACAGAGAAACAGGTTTAGCAGCCACTGCTTGTCACACAGCATCTTTTTGTTCCACCGAAGAATATGCTTTCTGGTAAAGTATGTACAGCAAATCCAGAAGTTAATTGCTCAGGGAACACGCTTCTGGGCCTCCCCACATTTCTTTCCAAGGAATTTTCTCCCCTGCTGCCTTTGCTGGACCAGAGGTGGAGGAGTTCAATAGCTCAGGTTAGCCAGGACAAGAGGAGCCCAGGGACTCCTCCTGAGAGCACCCCAGCACCTCTGGCAGCCTGAAGCGACCTGTCTCTGCTTCCCCAGCACACACCAAAGAACCTGAGCAAGGTTCTTGGCTACAGGAGAACACCACCGAGCTCCAGGCAATTTCTGGAACGGTGCAGACACCAACCCGAGTGGCACTTACCCTGCAGGCCAACACACTGAGTGTTCTCTCATGGATGTTCATGATGGGATAGTTCTTCCCTTTGTAGCGATTTACTTCCTAAGACAAAGCACCAGGCACAGTTAAAGAGAGACAAAGCAACCCCTTTCCCTCTCGCTTTCTCCCAACGTGAAACCCCTGTTTTGGCCAACACATCCCATTCCCGGCTTCCCGAGCACAGGCGGCTTCTTTCCAAAGAACAGGGGCCAAGATGCTCTGTCTCTGGACAACATTATACACGGACCTGGTCAAAGTGCAGCCCAGCGATGATGTAGGGCTTCTCTGCCAGCTGGTGAACCTTCTCCAGGAAATCTACGTGCCCAATATCTGCAGAACACTTTTTTTAAGGAATTGGAACTAACACAGAAAATAGGGAAAAGGAGACAGAAACAGATGCACTGAAGAGCCACAGTGGGAGACAGGAACCCCATGGATCTGATTTCTGCATTATTCGTTGCCCATATCCAGTTGCCTCCTTCCTGCACAGGTGCTGGGCAAAAAAGCCACACACCTTCTCAGCTCCACCTCACTTTGCCTCTGTCAGAATTTCTACCCGGTTTGGCTGTTCTGGCTCAGTGCCTCAGAGACTGCCCCAGGGAGGAAGAGCAGCTCCAGGTGCCCCAGGCAGGCACTGGGTCCATGCCAGCCCTCAGGAGGGACTGGAGTGTGATCACTAGAGCGGGGAGAGTATCCGCCTGTCCTCCTGCCATCCTCCAACAGCCACAAACCTCTCTAGAGAGCAGCTACAGCTCCTTTCTCAGTGTCCTGCGACTAAGAAACCAGCTGTGAGAATCCTGCCTCCTCCCTACATGCACACCTACAGAGAAAGAAAGAAAGGAAAAGGAAGCAAAGGAGACAAATACCCTGGTCTGGCACCTCAGAACATGAGAACGTTAAACTCAAAGACCAGTGCTGCTTTCCTGACAAAACAAAGTCCAGGATACGGAACAGGTCGAAGGCTCCAGCCACGTAGATGATGGTGTCTCCGGGCTGCGGTTCCTTCCCTGACGCAAATTGGATGATCTTCTGAGATGTCTGCAGGAACTGCGAGACGCCAGTCCAAGGGCTGTGACCCTTTGGTCCCTGTAAAACACACCCCACACACGTCTCCTTTCCAGCCTCCAGGAGGGGATTTGGACAACACAGATGCAGCCACAGGCAATTTGCAAGTATCACAATTCTCAGCAGCTCGGACTTCCTACGTTCCTGGCACCAAACCGTTCAGCAATCTCACAAAAGCCCTTTTTGCTCTGTCAAACATGGTGCAAATCGTCCCTGACAGCCAGCTCAGGAGATGCCGAGAAGAAAGCTCAGGAAGGAGGAAGGCAACAGGGCAGGTCTGGATTGCCAGGAGAGACAAGGCTCAGTAACGCACAACCTACCCTCGCTCCTCTCCAGCCTCCAGCAGCCTCCCCCCAGCTCCATCAGGAGCCGAGCCCAGCGCCACGAAACCGAGTACGGAGTTTGATCGCCCCCACACGTCGGATGTGGGAACAGGCACCGGGGCACCCGCTCGGGCACCCGCCTGAGCCCCTCAAGCTTGTGCTCTACAAGACTGGCGAGAACAAAGCCAACCCCGGCGAGAGCGGGCAAGCCGGGCGCAGGCAGCATGCAAAGGGCGCTCAGCTGCTGCGGGGCCATGCAGGAGCCTGGTGACCCCAGCACCAGGGAGCAGCCACGCTGCAGCAACGGGCCCCTCACACCTGCTCCAACACCCCAACGTGGTGGGGAACAAAGAGGGTGACTCAGCCCAACCAGCGAACCCCCTGCAAGAGACTCACTCAAGCTGTAGGTACGGGCGCTTGTTAATCAGGCACAGAGAGGGGCTGACGGATCGTTAGAGGCAGCGGAGCCCGAGCCGAACCCAGGACGGCCCCACCAGGCACGCGAGCCCTGCAGCGCACACATGCCCCAGCCACGTGCCTGCTACTGATGCAACACCTTTGAGAACATGAGCACTGAAAGCAGCATCCCCAGAGGCTGCCCCTGGGCTGTCCCTGCGGGCACGTGGGCCCCAAAGGAACAGCGCTCAAGAACGCAGAAGCAAGCCAGAAAAGCAGCAAAGGCTCAATGGGTGCAGCAGCTCCACGGCATCGCTGAAGGACGCTTCACCCTCTGGCCCGGCACGGCTACACCTATTTCACTGACTACAGCAGCTCCTTTACCCGGCAGCAAACGTCTACTGAGGTTACTACTAAATACGGGGGGAAACAAGCCTGCAACAGAGGCTGAAAGCACATTTGGAATCCTTCTCGGACAGGACAACAACCAGACGTCCACGACCAGAACTCACGTTACCTTCCCAAAGTTGTCAGTGTGCTTCCGATAGTCTAGGTCCTCATCCTGAAGGGAGATAAAGAGTCAAAATGTTTAAGCACTCACATAGCTCATGTGACCAGGAACATGGTTGTGTGTGGCCCAGGCTGCACACCAGATCCCTGGCTCTGAATGCTGACAAACCAGTTCATATCCAGAGTCGTGTCCCAGCATGAGTCAGGTGAAACGTGTCCTCATCTGATCCCAGCCTGGCACCACACAGTGACGGTGGCTCTTGCCCAACCTGACAGCACTGCAATCCTACGTCCTCCCACAACAACGCAAGCCCCTAAAGGGACAGTGTCCCTCCTCCTTCCAAAGACACTCCACCAGAGACGGGCTCAGATCCCTGCAGCCAGCCAGCAGCACCGCACCACAGCGCGGGGTGAGCTTCGGAATTCCAGCTAAGCCAATCTAACAGCTCAGCACACTGGAAGATCTCCCTTGACCCCTGAATTGGTCCTTTGTCTTGTCCCTGCTGTTACGTAGGAGATTCCACTCATTAATCACCATGGGACCACTTCCTTTATTTTCCTTTGGCTACATCAGCTATCTAGCACATAGTGAGCTGAAGAGACTCCAGGAAGGTCTGATCAGACTAGAGACAGCAGAAGGCAGAAGCGTGCAGCTCAGTGGGAAGGAAGAGGACTTTCCAATTCTGGCAGCACTGGGCTGACGGATCGACGTGGCTGCAGGATGCAGCTTCACCCCCGGGGAAGCCACAGGCTAGCCTGTAGATCCCATAACATTCCCAAAGCCCACACGAATCACCAGGGACCAAAGCTTTCACCACCCCTCAACCTCCCCCTTTTCGAAAGCAGCACGGGCTGAGATCACACTATGATCTCAGGCAGGCTTAAGCAAACATAAGCGGGTTGTTTTGCTGCCACTGCCCATAATCAGCTTGCCAGTGCTCCGTGCACCTAGGAGCCAGGCCCAGGAGCTCTACTGCCATTTGGGACAGCAAAAGGAAAGAGCTGGCAAACACCCTGGACTTCGAACTCCCACCCAAAGCCCTCTGACTCACTATGTTGCTGTGGTGAGCCTTAGTCATGAGCAGCATGCGGCCAACGAGGTCAGTGGTGGACACACCTTGGGTGCGTTTGCATTCCCTGCAGGGAGACAAGCAAAGATAAAGCAGAAGCCACAGGAACATGCTCCTCCTCCTTTCCCACCATTACCACACGACATCTGACAAACCCAAACCAGGGGATGTGCATCTACCTGCTCTTGATATAAAGTCCATTCACTGAGCCTCTGCATCTTCTTCACCCCGCAGCGACTGCTCACATGAGCAGACCTTACCTTGCACAGGCTCCCCAGAAGAGCCAACCCCCAGTGAGGCCTCGAGGCCAGAACCAGCTTCTGCCAGGACCAGGCAGGCCCCACCAGCTGCCAGCCTGCAACACTTCCCAGAGCTACTATGGTAGAACCAACTGCAGCTCTGACACACGTCACAGCTAAATAAAGCGTGACCTGGGGATAGCTGTGGTTTGTCTGATTCCCTTCAGGGCATGAACTGCCAGAAGCTCTGCCCAAAGCAGGGCAGGAAGGGGAGCAGCAGCAGGTTACCTGTATCGCCCCGCGGCCTTCACTTCCTCATAGGTGTCCTTGCCATCTATCGTGAGGGTGATGTCATCTGCAGAGAGAGAAAAGCCTCAGAACTGCTCCCAAACCCTGCTGCACAGGAGCTGCTCTGACAGCAGCAGCTGGACAGGTTCAGGACATCAGCCAGACCACAACTCCTGCACTGAGCCCCTCTGCATACACAGGGCATCATCCTGCATCCCATGGGAATGCCAGGGGGTTGCAACACCACCCTACCTGCGGAGACAAGCATATTCCTGGATGCTGATCACCATTAGCCATCCCCCACTGTTCTGGCAGCCCAGAAAATGAGAGCCGGTTGCCCCTGCGGTGACACCAGCAGCAGCCAGGACTGAATTACTGCCTGAATGACAATGAACAGCTCCCATCAGCCTGTTAAACAGCACCTTAACGTTCACTTCCCCAGGACTGCTTTTGGCTGTTGGTTCATGTCATGACCTTTTCAGCCAATTTAACAGCCCTCCAACAGCCAGTTCCCCCTCGCAGTGATGACACTTGTACAGCCACATCGAGCTACCCTTCCTCAGAGTTAACTCTGGTTTCTCTTTGCCACAGTTCCCAACTCACTCTACAAAACCACCTCTCACCTACTCCCAGTGACAGTACAAAGTCTTCACAAGTGAAAACCCATTTCCATTTGGCAGAACAGCCTGTCCACAGCAGGCGCTGGCAGCTCATGGGTGACAGGAGTCCTAAACCCCACACCCTCACGTCAGGGCACAGGCGCACGCTGCAAGCGCGGCTCTGCGTGCCAGGAGAGGGCACAAACACTGGGTTTGTGCCCGTCACCCTCCTGGTTAAGCTCAGCTATTGCAAAACTTATCTTTGTATCAACATGAGCTGGCAAAGCTGCAGCGTGAGGGCATCATCCAGGTGCAAGTACAGAGTGACTTGGCAGAGGGGACAAGCACAGGGCAACCGGAGCAAAGGCCACGAGCATGGCTCTGCTGCCATAATCCCTCACTGAGCCTAGGACGGGCCACGCACCCCAAACGTGTCCAGGACACGCAACTAAGTTGACAAGGAATCTGACAATCAGCCTGTCCATGTGAAAAAGCCCGTCTGTCTCACACAGGATTAACGATTTATGTACATTTCATGAAATACTTGGCTTATTGACAGCAGGTGCCGGGATGAGACGAGGGGGGATCCATGACATGAGTGCAAAGACTCCTGATCAAACCAAGAAAACACCTCCTGCGGGGCTGGGGAGGGGCTGAGGCCACGTGAACACGAGCAGCAGCCCCAGGAAGGGACAGGGTGCACGTGCAAGAACGTTTCCCAGAACACTGGTTCTCTTTGGTGACTCTAAACTGAAAAGTGCTCCCAATAGGGACTGGGTCTCTGACCACACGGTCAGCTAAGCCCTTGAACAGCTTATCAGCTGGATAAAGGGAGAGAAGCTTTCCAGATCTGATCTCATCCCAGGATAAGTAGATATAAACGCAACTGTATTTCTGCATTTACTTTTAACAGCATTTTTCACATTAAGGTTTGGAAATGACTGTCCCCTCTGCACAGGTTTCTGCTAGTGCTAAGGGCAACCTCGGGATAACTGTCAGACAGCACGTCCTCTCTGTCAGCGAGACGGATGCTTAAAGCCCGGGGACCTGGCACCGCTGGGGTGCCCAGCACCCTCAGCACCCTAAGCCTGGCCACAAGTGTGTTTCCGCAGCACAGCGGGGCAGGAGCCGGGAAGCAGATCCCTGCACGCGAGGGACCCGCCGGCCAGCACGTTCTTTAGCCTGCAGCACACGAGCCCCTCAGGGCCCGTGTTAATGCAACACCTCAGAATATCACTCACCACCGTGCACGCAGAAGTCACAGTTATATTTGTCCAGGGTTTCCAGTGTGGTGACATAGGGAGCTCCTGGAGCAATCTCGTCCACCCACTTGATGGCTTGCACCATTTTGTACCTCTCCTCCTGTGTAAAGACAGGGGGGCCCTTGTGCTTGGCGATCTCCTCTGGGCAAGAAACAGAAAAACCCCGTTAGAAGCATGTACCGCGGCTGTGAAGACGCTCTCCTACAGGAGCCTCACTCATCTCACAGGTGGCTGAACTGCATCATGGGCTTACACGCAGCTTGGAGCTGGTTTGTGGTAGAGAAGGAAGCCCTGGGTAGATCAGAAAAGATTTTAATTCAGTTGTATTTCCTAAGCATGTAACAAGGGCCCTGGAATTCCCTGGGAAGGCAGAAGGACTCGTGCCTCCCCGCAGCCAGATACTTGCTACTGGGGGGTACCCTGGACCTCCTGGCAGCTCCGAGGGGAAACTCCTGTGAAACAACAGCTTCATGCTAGAAAATATGCATCCATAAACCGACTTAAAATCCGTCTTCGCACGCAAGAACTAGTTCTTAGCACGTAACTTCCTGATGGGCTACAACGAGTTCTCTCCACGCACTCATTAGTTTTGGACTTATCAGCTCTGCAGTTTGCACCAGCAAAACCAGGCTGATGTTCAGCTGGTACAGTTGTTTTCACAGCGCAGGACACAGGTCACGCCTCAGAAAGCCCCAAAAGCTCCGAGCTACCGAACCCTCACTCCAGAAACGGGAAAGGGGAAACTCTGCTCCCTCGCCCGGGGAAGGGACGCTCTTTGGAGGCTGCTGCTCCTTGAGGAGGTGAGGGGCCGCCCGCTCTGTGCCGGCGGGTCCGTTCTCGGGGCAACGCCGCTGCGCGACTCGAGAGGCAGCGGGAGCGCAAAGCTCTTACCGTCCGTGTGGAC